AAGCGTTAATTTTTACGATTTTGCCTCTAAAAATAAAAGGTTGAGTAAAAACAACTTAATTTGCCACTAATTCGAAATCTAATGAAGGCCGATGGGCATTAGTCTTTCATATCTGTCTTTATATCTGTCTGTGTGTATCTGTATCTGTATCTTTTGCTGCGATTTAAATGTTGTTAATGTGCCACAAGCAAAAGCTGCAAGTTTTGCATGTTTATTTTGCAAGATTGCGCCTAGAAGGCAGAGGTATTTTTGGTGTTATGTCGCCACGTGTCTACACAGGAAACAATTTTTATTGTTATAATTAGGTAAGGAATTTTTGAAATATAAATACTTGAATATTTTAATGAAGAAAATTATTTAAAGTATTGGTAGTTAATAGAATCTAATATTTAAAGATCAATTAAATATGCAGCTTATATCTTCAAAGATGTATATTGGTGTTACAAAATCCCCAAACATTGTATAGCTAGCTGCCTGTGTATATTGTAATCCAATGGGGCGGATGTTTTTCTATAGATTACAGGCCTCGCAGCACGATTTTCACACGCACTTCGGTCGGAATGACAGCAATTAGCCATGTGAAATTCCCGAATACATTAACATTAGCCCGTACCCATTGAGGTTCGAAGTTGGGAGGTGTTGCGTTGCAATCGAATAGCGCAGTCCATAAAACTCATGGGTTCTAAGTACAGGGTATGACACCGGGTCGAGTAACCCGAAAATTGTTTAATTTTATTTTCCGACGCCGTGCGCATTGTTTTCCCCGACGTGGCTCGAAGAGTGCAACAGGTTAATCATTTAGTTTTGCCTGTGTCAAGTGCACATGTTTTATGGTTTCATGCTTGCTTAGCGCTGTAAATTAATTTTTTCTGCCAGCCGAGGCATTTACAGAGGAGGCAGCAAATCGCGCCGAGTCAGCCAGCACTTGGCGAACCGCAGAAACGCCACATATACATCCAAAACTATAACCCACACGGGGAAAAAATATATGTTCAAACGCCTATAATTATTGGAATATTTAAAAATGCTTTTAAAAATAAAAAAAGCAGAAACCAGTAAGTATTTTCTGGGTTGATGCCACCTATAAAAATCAGTATATAGTACAAACCATGACCATCTCATTCTGAATAATTCGACTTGGAAAAATGCGATTTTAGTAATGCCATCTGTTATTGAAAAATTTTTTGGAATGGTATTTGTTTATATTTATAATTTCCGAAAAATTCCCCAAAAGTACCATTTCTTCCTGTGCACAGACAGCCAGAGTTTGTTGCCGGTGACTTTTTGGGCCGACTGACAACCTTTAATTACTTGGCAAATATTTGCAGCGATAATTGGATTTTTTCCTGGCCTAAACTTTTGGAGCGTCTGTGTTTTCGTTAGAAACTGTAACGGATATACTATATACCCCTTGGTATCTTCGTGGGAACTCGGACTTCTAATTTGTTTGCCTAACCATGAAATGTGGTCATCTTCGCGAGGGGGAGTGGATGGCCAAATGGCCAGTTGCTGGATGGTTAGGTGGCTGGTTGGCAAGGCCAGTCGACCGATGCAGCTGCAAATTGAATCGCAATCGATTACAAGTTCAAATCGTTTAGTTTTGGCCGCCTCAATGCTGCAGCCAGAGTCTTGGCCTTGGCTGACTGGCAAAATTGCAGCTCCTCAAGCCAGTTTTCAGCGTTTAATCTATGTACGATGCATTGGGTTAAGGTCGACGAGAAAAATCAGACGGTGGCAGTCGAAGTTGCAGCAGCAGAATTAGCCAGGCTTAGGCTGCCAACAATCCAGTTTTGGCCCACTTTGAAAACCAACCAAGAACTGCTCTCTAATTTATGCAACACTTTCACAACTCGCCTCCCCCCAAATAAATTGATATCACTTCCGTACCTGTTGGGTCTTGAGTTTTGGGTTCTGGATTCCCTGCTTCGAAGCTCGAACTTGGCTAACACACACACGACGCACTGCCACACACACACTGTCGCACGACCGTAGCCTGGAGATTCAGCTTCAGATACGGACTCGAGACTCGGACTCGACTGCGGCAAACGCCAAGAAGACACTAATATGGAGTTCTACCCGTCGGCTGTATAAATAAACAAAATGAACGGGCTTCGCGGACCGGCCAACATTTGACGCCGCCGTCGCTGCCGACGCGGGCAGCGCCGTCGACGCTCGGCCCGCTCGGCGTATACTTACCTTTTTTTAATACATTTTTGCGTCACTCGGCCAGGTTCGATACGATGCAAGTCGAAGTCGCGTTAATGGCCAATTCGAGTTGCGCGCTCTTTTCTTTTTTTTTTTGTTTTCGTTTAGCACTATTCAGTTTTGGTTTCTATAGTGATTTTTGGCTTTCTGGTGCTAAGGTCAAGTTTGAAGCAATTAAAGCGAATGTCTGAGGCGAGAAAAGAAAGCAAAACTGCTAGCGATAGCAGCTACATACCAAGTGGGTTTTCTTGGTTTATTTTGAACAAGTTTATTAACCCTTTCCCGGTTGGCCAAAAAAGCATGCAGATCCTATCGCAAAAAGAGCGGCAAAAAGAAAACGAAAGCAAAGAGGGAAGCAAAAAAGTACACAGCGAAAATAAGTACAGAATTCTTCTGAGCTAAATAAAATATGAAAAGTATCTGTAATATATGGTAAAAACTTAATTAACATAGCAAACAACATACTTATATACGTTCAACTTAGAGCTTCATCATAAATTAATTTATATGGCTGCAAAAAGCGAGGGAGATGTTGCCTTTATGCCACTGAAAATTCTAGGATGCATTTTTGAGAGAACGTTAGCTGTCTAAGTTTGCCAAATGGGTGGAAGTATTATTTAAAATATACATTTTTATTAGTAAATGTCTTTTAAGTGATAACTTAGGTTAGTGGATTTTGCGTCATCCCAATTACTTGTTTTTATATTGTGATATTAGAAAACATAGACCATTTTATCTTGTTTAACAAATTAATTAAAAACAATTGGTTATATTATAAACATTTATTAAAAACAATTTTAAGTAAGAAGTGATACACATTAAAACTATCTATTAAAATATTTACACAGTTCATTAATAAACCCTGGTAAGACCTTTTAAAATGTACTTACTTATTAAAGTTAGACAACTTTGTGAATGATAATAATATTAATTTAGCGTGCTTAAGTACCCATTGCTGACCGATTTAGCTGATTTTTTTCTGTGTGCTCTTTCCTCGCCGCCAAATTGGCTTTAAATAAACCGCTGGACAATTGATTTATTATCGCTGTCACGTTATTCAGACGGACTCAATGGGCAGCACACATATGTACGAATGTAGGCGACACGCCCCAACTCTATTACGGGCACTTACTTAACTTACGCAAACAGGGATTTTCGGACGTAGTTAACACATTTTTAGCCCGATGGGAAGCGATGAGCCGGCCCATTGACGAGAAATTTCACTCGCTTTCCCATAATCCCGAATTATGTGACCCAATGCTCCACCCACGTGCTAAGTGGCCGGTCAAATATTCAAATATTTGCCAAAGTCGATGCACTGCAGCTGTATTGGTCACCGCTCTTCCGGGTCTTTAGCATTTCCATTTGAGCCACATGGCGGCGGGCCAAAAGCAAAAAGCCGTTTTGCATTTGTTATCGTCCGCTCGTCTTTCAAACGGCGCATATTATCGGCGTTTCTCTTTCGTGATATTGACCCTGAACTTCAGCGCTACTAATATTAATACAGTCGATTAATACCGCTAGTCGGGGTCTCTGTGCGAAATCTGCTCCTTGGCCGAGTTTCTGACGGAGCTGATCAGAACGCCGAGAGTGATGATGTTATTGGCCCGGATTCGTCAATAGGGTTTCGTCTTTATGTGGTGCCCATGAGGAAAGCAAGAAAACAAGTTCTATAGGTACTTTTTCATTTTGAACGATTTTTAAAACAAGCAAATGCCTAAACGTATTAGTTTTTATTTTGCTTATACATACCAATAAATATTCTATGGGCGCTATTAAGGAGTAGTTAAATTACGTTTATGAGAGGTAGCCAAACAAGTGAATTTTTATTAGGCCTGCATGGTCGTTTATATTTCCTGATTATCAAAATATTTTGAAATTTCTTAAAAAGTTAACAATTTTCCCTATATCATAGTAGTAAGTTTTTTATATAGGTTTTCATTTTTATGGTTTTTATAATTTGAAAGATTAAAAACGTATTTTAATTAATCTTACACTTATTAAAAATGAATTGAAAATTTTGTTATATACATTTTTATTAATTTCATAGAACTATTCCTTGCGAATATAACTTTTTACCGGCTACTGCTTTTTTTTTTTTGCGGCTATAATATACAAATGCAAAATTAAGTCATTTTGACATCTAAATTTAAGCTTTTATTATTTAAATTTAAAAACCACTAGTTCTTGTTTTGTTATATAAGACAGTATCTTCCTTAAGTGCTCGGCGATGAGCTTTCTGACTTTCCGGAACTAACCCATTGCAAATATATGCAAACTTAAGTAGGCAAAATCCACGGGAGTTTACTTTGCCATTTCAACACTACCAGTTTTGAGTTGACATCATTGGTTCATTGTTAATTGCTTCAAAAGGGGCTTAGGAAAGTTTTTAAAACAATTTCTCTGTAACTTTGTTGGTGACGAACTGAGGAGAAAGACTGTATTCTGATAATTTACGTCTTGTAATTTCGTCACGGTCGACAATTTCTCATGAAAAGTATATTGTATGTGAAGTATTAAGTAAATAATCAATATTTAACCAGTAGAATGATCACCTTTGATCGCCATTAAAAAGTTGTGAGCTCCCAACCATGTTTAGTAATAATGAAAGCACCTTGTTTACCGGGAGCAATGAGATTTTGTGGTTAGCGTTTTTAAATTTTGGCGGCAACCTAGGAGTTGCCATACTGTTTAACCTAGCTGTTACAGATGAAGCAGTGTTAGCAGCTGTTAACAGCTGTTGCAGCCAAGTGTGACCGCATTTCCTGCTATAACATATGACTTCCAGAGATTTTCCTTTCCGCAAAGGCAGCCACTCTGAAAGAAATCAGAAAAAAAAATTTTATGGGAAAACAGATGAAAAACAGCAATTGTATTTAATTAAAACAAGTGCAGCAAGTAGTTTTCTGCGCCAGTGTTGACTTCTAGTCCTGCCGTTGAAGTGACGCCAATTGCGCGACTTTCGAGTGGTAAGTGAATAGTGACGAATCGCCAGTGAAATCGAGTGATTAACCCTTCACCTGCCTGAAACTTCGGGAAACTGAAAACTGAACTGCGCAACTGAAGAGCTGGTGTGGGTTAAACCAGTTGGTAATATTCCCTTTACACGTGGCCTTTTCACTGGGTTTCGTGTGGATCGTGATTTCTCTATAAAGGTTTCCCCGAAAACGCACTTGCACTTTAACCCACCAAAAACCCCGCGTCCCATTTGGACCCCATTATGTAAAATCTCAATTGGCAACTAATTCCCTAAGTGATAAACACACAAAGCAACACAAACTCACAAAAACCAGATACACACTTGCACTGCACATAAACCGATTCATTGGGGAATACAAAGGTCGTTTCATACTATCTATACTATACTAACAAAGCGATCGGGACAAACTAATAAACAAATAAACAAATACATATCGCATTTCCCAGTTAAGCTAGCGTTGAACTAACAACCGTTTCACATTGCCTGCGAGCAACTAAATTCAAACGTATCATATTGAGCAAAACGTTTTGTATTACAGAATCTATTTGCGGAGTGCCCAACGGATCCGGGATCATCTAGGCCATGGATTCGGCCACCAATCTTCTCGAGCGACACAGCTCGACGGGCGATCTAAGCAGTGGACCTGCTGAAGTGGAGGTTACCACCCGGGCCAGGGCCACCTTTGGCATGGATGCCGCCGGAAATTCGACGGCCGAGGGAGTGGCCACCACCACGGCCACTCTGCGCTCAGCAGGATCCGACGAGGACATCTTCGAGCAGGTGCAGATGATCTTGCGTAAGCGACGCGGCTGGGGCCCCGAGGATTCTCTCAACCCCAATGATCTGGACCTCCTGGAGTACGACGATGAGTTGGGCGAGGAGGACGACGCCGGCTGCCCACTGCCCTCCACCCCGGAGGACACACAGCTGATCGAGGCGGAGGTGAGTTGGGGTTACCAACCTCCTGTTCCCCCAGGTGGAAAAGTACAAGTTGAAATCAACAAAGCATGTGGTGAGCTCTTATCGCTGACCCGCCGCCAAGTGGTTATCTTCTGCCACTTGTTAGTCGCAATTTTCCGACTGCGCAGGCAGTCATTTGAATGTCGAACTCTTATCAATACAAATGTTGCATTGGCCCAATGACTAGTTGCCACATTTAAATTTACCATAGCCGTCGAAGGCGGTAAAACCTTATCTTGACCATTTCTCTTAGTTTATGACTAACTAAATACAATTGCTCAATTTGTACCCTATTTCACAGCCGTAAAAAAGTAAAACCTTATCTATCTATGCCTTTAATGCCTGCTCAAAAGCTGTCAAGTATAATTCCTTGATTTCAGGCTTATATTTTTGCCAATCGGCACATCTTGCTGACTGGCTGAAAGGTCAGGCTCAGATTAAATTCGAAAAGCTTAGGTATAGGCCTTTACACGACAGATACTAGAAAAATAGGAAAAATTCTCGTCGATACGGTGCTGATAATGCTCGGAGAGAAGACAGTTTCGGTCGCGCTTATCTTATCGCGCGAACGCATTCGGTGCTTTCTTGTTCCGCCAACAACGTCTAAACAAATTGAGCCGACTGAGTATGCGACTGGTAGAAGCTTCAAAGTACGAACGCTCATTGTTTCGCACACTTAGTTCTAGTTCTGTTCGAATCTCTGTTAGCCGCTCAAATGCAGACCCAGCCGGAGGTTGTAGTGCGTGTCAACCCGGATCTGGAGCCGGATGCCAGTCAAGAGGCCAAACAGCAGGACGCAGTCGAGGCGCAAGATGAAAAAAGAGTCGTTAGTCTCATTCGCTTTTAGTTTTTCTTTGCCATCCCGTAGTCTAAGCTTTTCATACCCTGTTTGAGGACGATTTAATGTCTTATCAATCTATCCCACAGATGACGGAAGTGCTGAAGGCAGGCGTTCTCTCCGATGAAATCGATTTGGGCGCATTGGCCCACAATGCCGCCGAGCAGGCGGAGGAGTTTGTGCGCAAGGTAAGCGAATTGTTTATGTCAGGTGGAGACTGGCTGAGAGGAAGATATTCTATCAAGATCTTCGATATTTTGTAATTTTGTTTTCCTTTCAATAAATGGTATATGCTTGTGACTGTTTTTTTTTTATGTGGTGGCTTGTTATTTGTTTGTTACCCATTTCGTTAAACCCTTTACTAACTTTTTATCCTATCCCTAGGTCTGGGAGGCTAGCTGGAAAGTGTGCCACTACAAAAATCTACCCAAGTGGCTGCAGGATAACGACTTTCTACACCGCGGTCATCGCCCACCGCTTCCCTCATTCCGCGCTTGCTTCAAATCGATTTTCCGCGTGCACACGGAAACTGGCAACATCTGGACACATCTCTTGGGCTGCATTGCTTTATCGGCGTGGCTTTGTACTTCATTTCGCGTCCCTCGGTTGAGATTCAAACTCAGGAGAAGATGTCTTTGGCGCCTTTTTCATCGGGGCCATTGTGTGCCTGGGATTCTCATTCGCATTCCACACACTAAGCTGTCACTCGGTAGAGATGGGAAGACTGTTTTCTAAGTAAGTTTTGACAAGCTGTTGCTATTGCATTTTTATTGATTATTTTATGCCTACAGACTTGACTACTGTGGAATTGCGCTGCTGATCATGGGCTCCTTTGTGCCTTGGCTGTACTATGGCTTCTACTGTCATTACCAGCCGAAGGTGATTTATCTGTCTGTGGTGTGCGTTCTGGGCGTTCTCTCCATCGTTGTCTCGCTGTGGGACAAGTTCTCGGAGCCGGCACTTCGGCCCTTGCGCGCTGGCGTGTTCATGAGCTTTGGTCTGTCCGGCGTGATTCCAGCGATCCACTACAGCATCATGGAGGGCTGGTTCAGCCAGATGAGCCGTGCCAGTCTGGGTTGGCTAATTCTCATGGGTGAGTGCTGCTAAATAAGGACTATAATGATAACTTAATGATTATATATAATTTGTAGGCCTTCTCTACATCCTTGGCGCCCTGCTGTATGCTCTCCGTGTTCCCGAGCGCTGGTTCCCTGGCAAGTTCGACATTTGGGTAGGTTTTTGGATTCATTTCGACCTTTGGACTCGCCTAACATTCTATATTTCGCAGGGCCAATCTCATCAGATATTCCACATACTGGTCATTGCGGCTGCCTTTGTTCACTACCATGGCATCTCCGAAATGGCCATGTACCGCGTGATGTACAGCGAGTGCACCGTTCCCATCGAACCAATAACCTTCTAGATGCTGAAGCAGATGCCAAGGATCAATCATCGTGAAATCGCATACAATCCCATTCATTTTCATACAAAGAATAATGCGAACTAGCGCAGTTTTACAATGCAACCTTTTTAGCGTTTGGTGAGCATTTGTACCTTGTTATTCAAATTCGACGGAAACATATTTGCGACACAAACTCACAGTAAAATTCCGCGCATTTATCATCAAAATCTTACATAAAAAACCTAGCAAACACAGTTGATTGTCGAATCAAATCTGCAGTAGAGTAATCAATATATGTACAATTATTTATAAAATTCCAATTTGTCTCTTTAATGTTAATCTAAGTTGATCGACCTTTTGGGGTAGTGCAGGATTGCTTGCATCTGGAATTGGCAAAATGCTAATAACCAGCCAGGAGTCATCGCGAGATGACTGCCGCTCAGGGTTACCATTGCTATGAAAGTTTTCAAAAAGCCATCCAAGCAATTTCTACTTTAAGTTATGCAATTAGAATATCCCTTTGTGGAACTAGAATATATCGCTTAGAATTGTTAGGATTGTATGGACTAGTGAACATACATTTTTGTCGTTAAATGGGGTCTGATTTAACATGCACACTTATACACTACACACCATACATCGCGCGTCCATATCCAAGCACTCGGACAGCAGAGCCAACGCGAATGGAGCCTACGATATTATATCACCGTATACATTATAATTGCAGATCTATCACAAAACATAATGCGAATCAAAACAATAAAAAACTGAAAAGACTTCTAAACTGTGGCTTGGTGATACTTTTATTAAGCCATATTTTTTATTTCTTGACAATAAAGAATTATATTAAGATGGCTGATTGCGATTTGGCAATTCGGTTGCCATCACCCTAATGCCTAGCCATAAATATCGCCCCAGAGAACTAGAAATCCGCATTGGGGTTATTAGCTGACTTAAGTTTGCCAGGCGAGGGCATTTGCGAGCATTTGCTGCTGATGACTGGGCGAATGCTGAGTTGACTTTGACCCCCTTGATGAAATGAGCAGCCGTGGTCTAGTCTCCGAAATCTCGGATCTCGATCTGGTTCCTCCGCTGCCTTGTGTTCTATGCGTCGTCATTGTCTTCGCCGTGTGCTAGTTTCTTTAAAAAATCCGCAGATCATTAAACCTTTTATTCTGTCTTTCACAAATGATCGAACTTTGTACTTGACAACTTTTTGGCACGTGTCTTTCAAATAAATGCGATTGCAGTTTTTTTTCACTTAAAAAATTCAAGTTCAGCAGCAAAAAAGGCAAATGACTCGGTCAAAAAAGGCGAAAATCAGTTCGGAAGTTGAGCCAAAATGGAGAAAACCAAAGTCAAAGAGAAATATTTTAAAAATGCCTTAATGAGTCGTAAGCATGTGCATAGCTAAATGGCACTGCGGATCGGCGTGAGGATTTTAAAAATATTTGTATTGTTTTTTTTTGTATGGTTAAGTAATATTCTTTGTTGCTTTAATTTGTTATGTTATTTCGACTACTATTTTATTTGTATTTAGGATTTATTTAAAATTCTTAAATATTTTCATCATTTATGTGTAAATCGATTCACACATCAAACATTTTGACTCGTCTTCTCAACCCCGTGCGCCATTTAATCTAAAATATTGCTAAAAACCAACATATTTTACATTTTATGTTTAAAAACCGTGTTGCAGAGGAACATAAAAAACACCCAAAACAGTATTGCATCCCCAAACCCGCGCTTTATAAAAATGCAAATCAAGTGGCTACAAATTGGTGCCAGATGGGGAAATGGTTTTGCTTTTGAAGGCGGGTCTGAGTATTTCAAGGACACTGTTTTGCACTGATTTACTTAACTCAAATGTGTCAAATGATTTTCTTAAATGTAAGTTTGCTTTGCCACAGGCACCGAAAATACAAATGGGCTTTCACTTTCAATTAAATACAATATTCAGGGGCCAATGCACGCCACAGGTCTGAACCCTAATTACCCTCATTACACATAATTCGACAGATGGTGAGACCGCTCAGTGGGCCAAGCTATCCGGAAGAGAAGCTATCGCCACTTGGCTGTCATCGTCGTTATGAGATATGCATCAGCATCCGCGTATCGGTGCTTTGTGCAGTTCAATGTCGGCATCGGCAGACCCCAAATGCTCGTATGCAGAGTTCAGTTGAGGCTGCCACCCAGATTCGGGCTTTCAGCTCGGTTTTTAGCTCTTTATTAATGGTCTTGTGCAGTTGCCTTTATGCGTTGAATTCAATAAACATATAGCAGTCTAACTGAGACTGCGGGTAAGACTCGAACTTAGACTCATACGCAGACTGACAGCCAGCAAGTGGCAACTGGTCTTTGAAGGTTTTTGGCGTTTAAGTGTTATGGTCAAGGCTGTCGCACAGCATCCGCTGTGTGTCCAGTTCGTTAGTTCATTGATTTCCAATCAGCCTCAGTTCACCTCGGACTGCGGTGCTCGCCAAGATTTGGCTGGCTCTGGTTGCGTTTTTTCCATCATCAGCATCAGCGTTCTCCAAGTGTTACGCATTAATTGAGTTTTAATGTACGCAGGCGATTGCGCACAAGAATTGCCACAAAAAGCGACCAAAACGACAAAAACCACCGAAAATTGCTAAATTAAGAGCAAAATAAGACAAAGAGAAGGCAGAATTTTTTTGCCAAACCATCTAACGATCAGTTCTTGCAGAATTGCCAAATCCAACATTTTCATGCAAATTATGCTATCTTGTCAAGTTCAAAAACATTAAAACCGTATAATGCCCAGCAAAGACAGGCAATATGAGATGTTTTTATTTATTATCGTCTTGTTGTTGCCAATGTAAAGATGCTTTGAATAAAAAAAAATCTAATCGAATGAGTCGTTAAATGAGCAGCAGCGGTATCTATAAGCCGATGCTCCGGGGCATCGATGCGAGTTCGTGTCCGAAGTCTTTTGTTTCCGCCTGGCGACATTGACTTTGAAATGCTTTGGATTGAAGACAAAAGTGAAAACTCGGATGGAAAATTTACGGAAATCCAAGCCTAACAATAAATTGTTTGTTTAAATGGGGATTTTTTGGAAATACAGCCTATCCACGGTTCAAACTTAATAAAAAATGTCATGTTTGAAGATTTGTTATATTAAATGTAATAATTCATTCATGTATACTACATACATTTCATAATTATGTGTTAGCTTGTTTCCTTAATGACTTGAAAAGGTGTTTTATTCTAAGCCTTAATGCGAATAACAAAGTTACTTGATTATTAACTTAACATAAAAATCATTTCTTATCTTTATCTTTTCTTTGGTTTTATGAACATTTGTAGAACAGAAAAAATGACTTAGATTTAGTTTGGGGAAGTTTGACAGTCTTCGTTTTGGGTTGGCACGCCTAGAAATGGGTTCAAACGCGGGCTCGTAAACGTAAAACGAGCTGCGTAGAATCTTCCTCAAATTGCCAAAAGCACCTCCAAAATGAGATTCGGGCACGCGTCGGGCATGCCAACATGCCAGCGGAGGCGACCTTCGCCATTGCGGAAGCTCGATAGGAATCGAATTGGGCATCGGCCGGATTGGATCGGAAAGATTTAAGACTAAGTAGGATCTGTGAATGAATCGATGGAATTTCCGATTTCGGTGAACCGACGAAGTGCACATTGGAACCATAAAGGCGTGGGTTTTCGGGAATCGCACTTAGTTGGCCATTGTTGCCACTTTGTTTTCCTTCTGATTTCTGATTGAGCAATTAGCAATGGTGGCAAATGTCAGACATGCATTTCGACGCGGAGTCAGTGCGTCTATTTGGACCTTTGTAGACTTCTTTTCAGCCCACACAATGAGTTACTACGCGGTGTAATGCAGTTTGCGACTTTCCGACCGAAAACTTTCCGACTTTGCAAGTGAATGAGGGAATGACGCGGCTGAAATCCATCAAGTGGCCACTGGAGGCTTTGGGCCGGAGGCATTTTGGGGCCATTTAATTGCACAATCATTTTTGCACACCACACACTCAACATAACTCCCGCTGCAAACCCATATGGGCCAGTGGATGATAGATGCAGTCGGGTTGGGTTTCTGTTATGATTTGCTCGACTGCAGCTGTAAGCTCATAAATAATTCGTTTCTTAGCAAAAATAGGTGGTGGTTCATTAAGTTAATTATCGACTTCTCATTGCCACTCTGCTTATATTTTATGCTCAATGGGTAATTAGCTGGGTAGATCCTAGAATCGGCCCTAAAAAACATGCAATGTCTGCCAGTCAGCTGGATCTGTATCTGTAAATGTATCTGTATCTGTATCTGGATTCTGGTCGTGGCCAAGTGCTGCTCACCTGTTGCGAACAACGGCCGAATACGAATACGATCTTGGCCGAATACCGAATAGGTAGGTAGACCTGTACTGCGAATCTTGGCCGAAAGCAAAGCGCTCGTACTCGTATCCGTGATACGATCGCTACAAGACCGCTTGTAGGGCCCGGATATCGCTTAGTCTGCTGTCGGCGCCTCAACTGCCAAGTAATCGCTGGGTAACCGTGGAGCACGAGATCCCGAGATCTGCCGCCTCGTGTTCTGAGTTCTGAGTTCTGATCGACAACGCCGCGTATGCGTGATATTGCCTCGAAGGATAACAGAAAGTGCCTTTAGTGTCTATCCTTCGCCGGATCGTTTGTGTGTGTGTGTTATCGTTTGAGCCGTGTGCTGTGCCGTACCGCAAATAAATCCCTGACGTCCATTCAATATTTTTTGGCTTTCCCTCCCAAAATTAATTCACCAGAAAGGCAAGTGTTAAAGAACTATAGGAAAAAACAATGGAAGATTGTGTTCAGATTTTATGCTAAGTTATGCGCACACGACGCGAACCTGTTAAAGATTTGAGACATTTTTTTTTTGGGGTCATTGCGAAACGACACCCAAGCCCAAAGACCCGGGCACGGACGAATTCGAAAGAAAACTACAAACTAAATATTGTATAAATAAATAACATGGAAGAGCGGAGAGGCAGGAAAAAAGAAAAAGACGGGCTTACAAAACCAGCTGAAATGCCTGAGATGAAGATGGCCAGCAAGTCGGGAGTGGCCAAGTCAATCACACGGCTAATGTGGCTCATATGTAAATCGCATAGCTATTGATCAATTTTAAACGTTATTGTAATCCCTCGCAGCTGAAGGCAAACGCATCTCCCCGATAAAAACTGCCACTACCAGTTGCATTACCACTGTTATGTGCACAGGGAAAAAATTATAAAGATATATTAAATGCAAATATTTTGGCCTTATGATTTTTAATGAATTTTAGTGCTACCATGACTTGATAATTTTTATTTAGTCAAACTGTT